ATGCTGTAAGTATTTAACACATAAAAATTGTGGAAAAGAAAAATTTCTCTGATCTTTGAACTTACCTTTTAGGTGATTTAAATGCAACCTTTATGCAAAAAGTCATAAATCTTTCAGAGTCCATATCCGAGTTTCTGAATAGTTCATAAAATTCACATACCGTCATTGGGATGTCCAATGCATATCTGGACATCCCAATCACCACCACTTTCCATGCTTGAATTTATGTCATTTTCATGCACAAAGCCATCCCCACTGCCAAACATACAGTTACAGATGCAGCACTTTTTAAAAGCTCGAACTGTCACTGTACATTTAATTTCCAGCCATGCATATTTAACCCATTTCTCAACCATTACTAAATATATTTTTATTAAATTTCTACTTTTCATTATGGCTTTGTCTTCATCACCATTCATTCCATCTATTTACTAGATCTTAGTCTATCCTTGTTTAAGCAGACATCCAATGAGCAGCATAGATGTCCATCCTTTTGGTTTTGCAGCAATTTTTGTTTTCATTTCACAGCACTTGTCTTTCACTGTACCTGTAAGATGAGCCTTGAATGAATCCCAAACCATCATGGATGGTTTATTAAATACAGCACTGCCAATTCAGGCAGCGAACATTCATTCATCCATCCAGACTTTTTTTGTGGGCATGCGCTAAAACTTCACTTAAAAATTTTGCATCCTTAGGCACTTTCATTTGGAAATAACTGTAGGAGATAAAAGGGTTCCATTTGCTATGGAATACAAAACTACCATAAAATGGCATTTTTCATGACCCTGTCTTTACAAAAATGGTTTTTATAATCTTTAGTATCAACAGTGTAATTTGATGGCAAATCAAATGACATAAGGATGAAATTCCTATTTCTGAGTGAACATAACTTGAAACCATATTCTTTTCGTAGTTTTATATGTCATTGAAAGGTTTCACATTTTGCTTTGAACTTATATGCAAACTTAGTGTGAACTCTTATGAATAAATATGTCTATTCATAAAATGATTGCACCATTCTTCAGAGACAATAAAATTCACTGGTTTGCACTGAGCAAATTCATCTGTTTTATCATATTCAGCACCCCGATTGACATAGATATATGGGTTATAATAAAGCCGTTCATTCACGATTCTTGAATCGATTCAGCATGTTCTTTCCCTCTTGGTATGAAATATAGGATGATGATTATGTACTGCTTTTTAGATTTATCATCTTCTCTAATTCAAAACACTTTTTTTCCTCTGCTCTTGAACTTATTTTTCATTTATGGAGAAATGCTGAGCATCTATACTATTGTTAGAATTTTCAGCAAACATGATCTCCCATAGTTTAAAATTTTTGCATAATAATTTCTCTTCCCTTTCATCTTTCAGGCAAAAATAAAATGGCACAGAAAATAAGATTAGCATAAAAACCACAGATCATATACAAGATAACAAATGAATGACAAAAATGTCATAGCTTCAAATAGTGTTACCAGATTTAACCCTCTGAAGCACCATGGCCGGCTTTATTTGGCCATAAGATTTCTTGTCGCTTAGTATATATTAGCTTATAGTTTATACTTTTTTTAATTATATAAATGTTATCGTAATGAGTGTAAGTTTATGAAAATAGAGACTAAAATAAGTAAATATACAAATTTAGTTAATAAAGGCTGTTTAAATAAGTCTTTATGACAGATCCAAAAACACACGCCACTCAGAGGGTTAAAACCCTCGTTGTTGGCATCTGGCATTTTACTTTTCATGTGATTGGAAAATATTCCACCCATTTTGCCTGCTCGGCAACATTTTCGTCCTCATAGCGACATACTTGAACTTAACAGGAATTGTTTTTCATTTGAACTTTTATATGGGTTTTGAGTTTTGGGAAAATTTTTGAAGAAAAAAACTCATTCTCAGCTTTTATTTAGAAATATATATTAAGTAAAAACATGCATCTTATTTTTCAATACTTACAGTGAAATCATTTTATTTTTAAAAATGTTTTTTCATTTTCCCAGTTTTAAAATCCTACTGAGCTTAAATTTGAAGGTAGCTATTTTTGATTATTTCCAATTTTAAAATACTACTGCAGCTTAAAAATTAATACTGTATATATATAAACATGTAGTACACCATAAGATAGAATCAATAATTCATGAGCAATAATTACATCATGTTTTTGAAGACTAAATTTTGTAAACTGGAATTCTTTTCTGTTTGGAGAGGTAAATTCCCTCATTAACATCTTAATAAAAGCAGCTAATGCATGTAGCATTTCTCATGCTGGGATGCTCTAATCCACAGTTTTTTAGTCCTTCTGGCTCATCCTCCCCTTTTCTTTTAAATATTTTTTTAAACACTCCATTTGGATCCTCTATCCTTGCTACAATAATATATAGGTATTTTTTTAACATGATCTGTAGGCATTGAAATTGTAGGTTGATTGTTTATTGCACCTGATTCTCATTGAATTGTTTATTAAACTTCATAACAGTTGGAAACAGACTTGATGTGATTAAAGAATTCTATATGTTTATAACAGTGAATCTAGAGTGGAAAGAGTATAGTGCTTACACATATTAGATATCACTGTGAAGGTCAGTCTTGTGTTCTTGTTTTACCTATTTGAGACAAAATGATGCCATTAACATTCTTCCTATGGTTGCCATTTGTATTGACGTGTATAAAGAGTTGACTGATGTTTTGCGTGATTCTTGTAAAGACACAAGTCTGTAATGATTTTAAAATCAGGTTGATTGTTAAGTGCATGTTTGAAAGTTTTTGGCAACCGAATCTCTGAATTGCATTCTTCTCATTTCCTTACTCATTATTGTTGCCTAGTGTCATTAGGACCAACAATAGACCTTCAAACCTCAACACTCAACAGTGTCATCCATACTCATAAAAAACTATGAGATGTGACACAAAAAGTCAAGACAAAGTGTGTAGCTTACAAAAAAGAGGAGTTGGTAACAACTGTTTTGATGATGTCATTCCACACTCTTCTATCCATGTGGCCAGTTTCGACTTAACCGGTCATGCCAGTTGGGAGTACAGCGTCATTAAATGAACATGTGTATTCTGCTGGAAAAATGTATAATGTAAAAACCGAATAGCGAATATAAAAACCAAATAGAGAATCAACATCAGGTTTCTTGTGAAACTTAAGAAATCGGCCACGGAAACATTTCAAGTGTTAACCGAGGCTTATAGAAATGAAATTTTGTCTTGTGCACGTATGTTTGAATGGCATAAGTGGTTTTCAGGAGGAAGGGACAGTGTGAAGATTATAAGTGTGCTGGGCTCCCAAAATTAGCGATTACACACCAAAACATTGCCAAAGTTCATGATGTGATCCGGGGTGACCGAAGATTAAGTGCTCGTGCAGTGCGGAGTTGGTTAACTTGGGTAGAGAAGATGTTCATTGCACTTTAACTGACGAATTTAACATGAGGAAGATTTGTGCGAAGGTTATCCCAAACGTTCTGTTCGATAAAAATAGTTCTGTAAAGGTGTGTGTGTAGACATTTAAAAATGCACTGTAAACGAGCCAAATTTGTTGGAATCTGATGTAACGTGATGAGATGGGGATTTTCCTATGACCCAGAAAGTAAGCAACAGTCAATGCAGTGAAAGTCTCCAGGATCCCCATGACCCAAAAAAGCATGCATGTAAAAATCAAAATTCAAGGCATATTAATTTTCTTTGACATTAATGGAATTGTAATGAGTGAGTGGGTTCCCAGTGGTCAGACTGTTAATCAGCAGTACTGCACTAAAGTACTAAAAGGACTTCATGAAAAATTAGGAAAGAGGCCTCAGTTTTTGAGTAATGGACGGCTGTTGAACAGGACAATGCAGCCGCTCACATGGCCCTATCTGTCAAGCATTTCTGACCAGCAAAAACATTACTGTGATTTGTTCCAGAACTGTTACCAGCAATGGCAGCACCAAATGCAGAAGTGTGTGAATGCTGAAGGGGGACTATTTTAAAGGTGATAATGTCACAGAGAACTGATTCTGTAAGTACAATGATTTATTGGACCAGTCATGTTTTTTTTTTTTTTTTTTTGTGTGTGTGTGGACCTCATATGTTGTAATATAATGATTAATTCTTTATTGCTGAAGAAGTTTTTTCCTTTATATAGAACTGAAGCCGATATAGGCAGAATGAGTGTATATTGTTTGTTTTTATATACAGTACAATTTCATAGGAATGTTTATTTACAATCTCATGCAAGTATAAGAAACAATGAGTTTATTCTTAACTTATTTAATTAAAAAAAATCAAATAATTTGATGCATACACTGCCATTAAATTCCAGGAAAATTAAATGTAAAAAAGAGAAATGTGGAAAGCTGTTAACTTACTTAAATCTTTTGTTAATCCTTCATATAGTTACTGAAATGACAGTTCAAACTATTGAGATCATCTCTGGTTCAGAGACTAATTTTGCTGGTAATTGACAATATACAAAGCAGAGAATAAACGAAATCATTTCTTAAACATCATATTTAGTTGGATTTCTTGTCTTGTCCAATTTTAATGTGCTTTATTCTGTCTTAATTTGTATTCTTAGCATGTGTAAAATATAGGCTGGTTATAATATGTTACCATTTTTATCTGTTTCTTGTTTTAAGGAAGATCGAAAACAAAATGATTTTTGAAGGAGATTTTGCGTTCAGTCTTAACAGCTTTCATATACTATTGTATGGAATTTAGAAAGAGGTTAAAAGTACAGTATATTGTAATAATAAACCTTTAAGGAAAAAGATTACCTCTGCTTTTTGCGCAGAAATACTACTGTGCTCCTTGTACTTGGCGTTTCCTCTTATCAACTAAAATTTCATACTTTGAGAAGTTGTGCTTATTATTTAAATTTGTTTATTTTTGTGACTACATGATGACATTTTATGACATAAAACAAATGAATATTGTCATTTTTTTAACCTTTCATTTAAGATGTATACTATATTTAAAATTTTTTTCTTTTTTATAACGTATAGAAAAACATGACTCTGGAAACATGTACTTTGCATTTCGATGGCTTCTAATTCTTTTCAAACGAGACTTTAAATTTATGGAAATTATGAGGTTATGGGAGGTAATATGCTTTTATTTGTACTTATTTTTAGTTTAATGATATAAATTTATTGTTTGTTGGATTACTGAATGCAAGAAAAGCAAATCACTTGATATGAGAAAATATGGTAGGGATTAGATAAAATGAACATTGTATGCGCAATTTATGTGTGCCAAAATTTATTGAGTAATTTAAGACTGCTGAATATAATTCTTTTTCTCTGGTAATTTAATATATTTTTTATTAAATTTGAAAACTATCACTGCGATCTGCCTGAATTTATAAAATGTTGAGTTTAAAGTGGTTGAATAATTTTATCTGATTTAGGAAATCCACAGAAGAGCTCAAAAAGTGAAGCTATATTTTACTGTGGGTACTACAAATCATTAAAAGTACAAATGAAAAAGGTGCAAAGAACATCAAAAGATGTCAATAATTAATTAGAAAGGATGTTTTGTTTGGGTTATGTGTCAGAAAAGTTACTGTATTAAAGGCTGAAAATTCTGAAACTTGCTTTGCACTGATACATGATGAAAATGAACACAGTGTTGCTAAATTATCTTGCGCAAAGAAATTTTTTAATACCTAAGGTTTTGATGCAGATACAAACAACAACGTATCTTTTGGTGTACATTGAGTTATTTTCTTAAAGTATTAAAATTGCAAAATTTTCAGTTTATATTGGGCAGTTTAGGGACCAGAACTATGACACCAAATAATGTTTTTGAATATTGCTGAGGATACTGAGAAATCTATCTAATCTTTTATTTTCAGGTAATCCCTTAATAAAAAACTATGTAGTGTTAATTTTGTGTCCATTTGTGTTTTTATTAATGTTTTATTTTCTATTTTTATGGTAAAGAGATCAATTTTTAAATATGCACAATAAAGGCATTTAAAAATAATGTTAGTAGATAGATTAAATAAAGTAGTGGATTACCAATTTTATTCAGGAATTTTTAGAATTTAAATGATTTTTTGATTATTTATTTGCAAAAATTGCAAGCAACCTTTACAGTTTCAAACTCATGCAGGCAAGATGTGTTTTGTAATAGTTCAAGGTTTTTTGAAGTGATAAAAAATGCCAATTGAGGAACATTATTAACTTCTCATTTATTATTAAAATTTCATTGTTCTGAAGTTTATATTTTATTTATTATTATGACATGATGAGAAAAGAATTATTCGTTTTTTCGTATCCTTTCATTTCATCACTGATTAACATAAATTTAAGAAAAAATCATTGCTTCAAACTACATAAGTTTTCTACTTTAGCATTATTATGCTTGTCATATATTGGTGATTTCTGGAAACATATTGTTACGAATTTTGTATTTTGATAGTTAATTTTAGTGGAATTATAATTAAAATTGTTGTATTTCCCCGTACAGTGCAGCGCAAGACACATTTTAAGAGAAAGCTATGCCGGAAAAGTAAAAATTACAGAAGCATGTGCATTTAACATTGAATAAATGGATATCTCGGTAATTTTTATTGAAATTGAATAAATATAATTTATGTTAATTGTAACTGTAATTCATCCTCTTATTGCTTTCCTGAAATCTTGAGAAGCAGAAAGTATTAGAAATTTCTCACGACCGGTTGAAAAATTATAAAAGGCTGGAGAGAGCATCTGAGTGCAGTTGCTTAGTTAGTTGCTTGTTGTGAGTTGTAGTTTCGCATGAACTGAGATAAATTGGAGTTAGCTTTTCCTTTAGATATGCTTTGTATTGTGTTGTATTTTAATGTTTTTAATAGTTTGAAGTATAACTACTGATTATACTGCATAATATTGTGAACACTTGTATGAATATCTCTGAGGAAAATTCCAGGGTTCTGATAGATTTCTTTTGCTAAGAATAAATTTTATTGACCTATTATTGGACTTTTGCATTGAGTCTATTACGAACCCATACGTTCGCTAAAATACACTTGTAGCTTTCTTCTTTCAGAACATTAGTTCTTTAGTACTTTAATAAGTTCTTTTCCATATATTTCAAATAGCAAATATATTTCAATTCATTATAAGTTCTTGTTAGGTCACTTTACAGTTGAAGGTATTGTAATCAAACTAAGCAAGTCTCCTGTAGTTAAGTAGAAATTATTTGGAACTTGTAAATGATTTCTGATAGCTAGTTGATTCAACAATTTTTTCAACAACATTCAACATTTGAAGGTTCTGCTATACCTCGATGCTGACAAGTCGTAGGACAACTTCTGCAATTTTTGTAATTTTTACAAAAATTATTCATTTTAAGAAATTAACATGAAGCTAAAACATTTATATTTTCTTCTCGTGTGTTTCAAAATCTACACTACTGGCCTCCCAAATTGCAACACCAAGAAAGACAAGAGATATCACAACAAAATTTATTTAGTAGATAACATGTTGACCAAGTATCAATTGATTAAATTTATAGACTTCTGTGAAGTGTGGTTCCTTTCAGAATCAGTAGCCAGAATAGCCACCATTGTTGGACATCTCCTCTACCACACGCCTCGGCATTAATTCAAAAAGACTTTGGATGTGTGTTCTTGGGGTACAGCAGACCAAGCAGCTTCCACACGTTGCCAAAGTTGATCTGGTGTGGCAGTTCGGGATGTAATCTGAGTCAGTCGTTCAGCAACCATGGACCACATGTTTTCTATCGACGAAAGATCCGGAGAACGAGCTGACCAGGGAAGCAGTTCAGTTTGGCGATTGATGAAGAACCCTTGGACAATGTGTGCCACTTGTGGTCGCACATTATCGTGTTGAAATATGGCTGTGGGCAAGCCCTGAAGGTAAGGAAGAACAACAGGATCCAACACCTTGGGGAAGCACCGGCTGTTTAAAGTACCGGCAATGCTTACAAGAGGAGTCCGAGAGTGATATCCAATACCGCCCCATACCATAATACCCGGTGCAGGACCAGTGTGGTAATGCATAACGCAACTGTTCAGCATCCTCTCTCCACAATGTCTCCAGACTGGAATCCGATCATCTTGGTGTTGCAGACAGAAGTGACTCATCAGTAAAGACAATTTCATTCCTTTCTGCCGTCCACATCCTTCTTTCATCACACCATTGGCGGCGGAGATGTCTGTGGTTCTACGTCAAGTGTAGATGAACCAATGGACGTCTTGCGGACAGACCACTCTGCTGTAAGTGGCGTCAAATGGTACGGGCAGACACTAGATGATACATTACAGCCTGAATGTGCTGTGCTATGGTTTGTGATGTGACTGAGCGATCCGTCATTGTCATGCACACAATGTTCCTGTCATTATGTGAAGTGGTGCACTGAGGTGGATGCCATCGAACACGATGGTCCGTCGTACCCTCCTGTATCCAGCAGTCACATATTCACATTACAGTTGTTTGGTTTCGTCCAACAGGGCTACCTATTTCCCTGAAAGATAATCCACACTCTCAGTAGGCCACTATCCTTCCTCTGTCGAGCTCGGATACTTGATCAAACGATGAACGCTGTTTACTACAGGGCATAATTGATCGTTTTTTTTTTTTTTTTTTTTTGAAAAAACTGCAAGAAAAACGCAATTGCCGAACTTGAAATCGTCAAAAACTCCAAGCCTTAAATAGCGCTGTGAAGTGGTGTACGTGATGTTCGTCTGCGTTGAAATTCTTATTATTTGCATATCTCACCTCCGCTAATGCATGTTGTAAATTTCATGTTATTTGCATGCTTCCTTCGGGGTGTTGCAGTTACGGTGGCCAGCAGTGTATATACCTTTCCTGCTTCACAGTTTGATTGTAAAATTTAAACAAAATAATTACTGCAATGAATGGTAGTTTTCAAATGTCTTTTTAGCGGAAGCAGGAAATATATTTAAGTACGTTAACGTAAAATTTCATTTTTTGGTTTTCTTTTTATAAGAAATGCTTTGTCACGTCTGATTCTTTCAAAATGTTTAGATATATGTTATTTTGCTTTATTAAATTTATTTTATGCTCTTTTTTTTTTTTTTTTTTTTTTTTTTTTTTTTTAATTCTGGATTTTTATTCTCGTAAAGTTAGTAGGAATTTCCTGAATTCCATTTCCTCCTGGAACTTTGGTTTTTGTTGTTTTTATGTTATGGCACTAAAGTAAAACAGAACCCTTAGATTGGTAAGTTAATGCATTTGATTAAAACAGGTCCCAGCTCAGACAAAAAACAGGGAGGTGATGTGTATAACTGGTTACATATAGTATGTCTTGTGTTTAGCTAGAAACTAACTCGAGCTGAAAAACCTCTTGATAAAAAAATTGGTTAAGCATCTGTCTTTACAGAACTGGTCCTGAGATTAATTTTTAAGCTGTTGTCCAAGTCGTTCAGCTCAAGTCTCATTAGGTAACAGCTAACAGCTACTAAACTTCTCATAGATGGATACTTAATTATGCTAATTTTGATTTTCTGTTTGACTTCATGCATTAAATGTGTAAACAATTATTGGTATAATAGTTTATTGTATATTTATAATTTTGAAATCTATTCTGTGCATGCAGAGCAGTTTATTAACATATTAAATTGCAGACATTTTTCAGATTATGCTTCTTATAAAAATAAAATAGACTCCTCCAAAAAAAGGAAACACTTTTTTTTTGTCAGATATAAAAAAAATTAACCCCCCCTTTTTTTTTGGTCAGATTTGTCTCCTCAATTTTAGCAAATTTTTATATGAAAGTCTTGCATAAGTATCACATTTAGAATGGTTTAAAGAAGTTTAATTTTTCATCATTGGAAATCTTTTTTGGTATGCTATTATTCTGATATTTTTATACGTTTTAAAATGTAGATAAAAATTTAGTGTATAGAGATATATTTTTGATAAATCTTTGTTTTGTTTCAGGTCCTTTGGACTGGCCTACCGTGTAAAAATTTCCATTTGTTAGTGTGCATAGCGATTTTGGATTCTGAAAAAATGACAATTATGGAAAATGAGTATGGGTTGACTGAAATTTTAAAGGTAATTTTATGCAAAACTTTTTTTTTTTTTAGTTACTCAAATGATCCAGGTTTTAATTTAGTGGAAAATTAAGTGATTATTATTATTTTTATTATTATTACAGTAAAACTCTGCACAATATAGTTTGGAGTAATCTGCACAGCTTGGATCCCAGAATTATGTGAATTAGAGAATTTTATGCATTATAGATCATTATCCCGAGTCGTTTACATTTTCCTCTGTCTAATTTTTGCATTATATTTGGAGCGTTTGCATACAAATAATTAACCAAATCATGCTGTAAAAATTAATTAATCAGAATTTAGGGAATACAGAATTTAAAGAATTAAAGCCTGGCATTATTTAATGTGATACAGAAGTAAAAGCATTATTAATCTGGTTCTAAATCAGTTATGTTAATGGCTAAACACAGGTATTTGGCACAGGTATAACTTGTTAATTAGCTATATTGGTCAAGTTCGAACTAATTTGAAATCTATTTTAGTGGAAATCTATGTTCTAGAAGTTCGTTTTTACTTCTGTCTTAGAAAAAGGCTTATTAATATCTGATAATATTTTGCACACTTTTATGTTAGCATTCTTTCCTGGTGATTTTATTGATTGATCTTTCCATGTCAGATTTTTTTCATCTGTTGAGATTGGTTGAATTAATTTCAGAAATATAAAGTTGAGGTGATTATATTAGCCTTGGCTGTTCATTGTCAATCTTGTTCCTCTTGAGAATTTAGTAGAGGAATTATGAAACTATGACTTACCCACAAATTTGTTTAATTTTTTAGATTGTATTGAGATTGTATTATATTGAATGTATTTTCTAGAATCATGGGTAGTATCAGCATCTCATTGATTTTAAAGTATTTGATTTGTTGTTGTTCAGTAAAATATTCAAAACTTGTATATTATTAAAAACAGTTAGCTCTGAACAAGATGACAAGACATCATTTATCATGTATTTTTAGATAAGATTTTTAGGAATTTTTATAAATCTACTTGTAAGTAAATAAAGTGGTAGACAGTCATGCCCTGCAAATATTTGGAATTTTGCCTGTGAAGAATTTCTGACAATGTTCAACATTATAATCATTGACTGGATTAAATTCAATTTTGGCTTTGTTGAAAAACTTTTGAATTAAATTTATTTAAATGAAGACATAGTAAGCATTTTTGATGAATGGAACGTAATAGTCCTGTCAGATTTCTGCCATACAGTTGCCTTTTGTTTTTGCCAGTTGATTTTCTTCTTTTTGCTTTCTCTTTTCTTTCTTTCTTCTTTTTTTTTTCCTATCTTTCTTTTTCTTTTTTTAAATTTGTAATCTGCAGTGAGCTAGAACAGACTGTAGGATTATTTTGCGAGGTTTTGAAATTGCTCTGCATTCATAGATAGAATTGTTGTATTGTACTAACTCATGTTACTGAACCAACTTCAGGATTATTTTGATAGCTTCTGAAACTGCTGTGTATTTATGGATAGAATTGTCATACTGATCCTTTTTATTAATAATTGATTTGACAGTTGCTTTGGAATTGGAGAGTGCAGTTGTATACTGTAATCAGTTAAGAGCTGTTGAAAGACAACATATACGATAGTCTTAATTTCATGTCTGAAATGGACTGTAGAAGCTTCATCTGGGGGAAAGAAAGAGAAAAACTTTCAGATAATTCTGCTGGCTGTTGTTAAAAAGTGGGCAGAAAACAAATTACAACTAGGTAGGACAGTGTACATTTTTGCATCCAGCTTATTATCATTGTGTTTTGTATTAAATTGCATTGATGTTTGTATTTTTTATATATAGAATTTCTTTGGGAAACTTCAAATATATTTGTCATTTGCCATGATGATTTCATATTAATTTTTTTTTTTTCACTGTAGCATGTCAATGAAATGTCATATAAAATAAACCTAGAAGATACCTTATGCAAAGCTGAAGCAATATTCCTTCAGATCAAGAACAGTAAATACCAATCAGATGTTGTTCAAACAATCTTAGGACTCGAACCACCTGCTCAAACAGAAAAATTATGTCCTAAAACAACACAGGTTGTCAACTCCAAGGTTCATTCGACTGTATCTAGCCCTGTTAACAGAAAGAGTGAAAGTGCTACCAGTAGCTCAGATAACATAGATGAATTTGTTGATTTAGAACCGAATTACCAGTTGCCATTTGATTTATTTACCTGAGCTACCTGTGATGCATTTTTATTGAGATGTGCCTGCCTGAATAAGTGCTCAGGAATTTTATGCTAGGGATGTAATGCTGTCGCATGATTATGTGCTTTTGTATATTTTTGTGAACATAGAAAATTATGTATTTTTAGTCTTCAGTGTCTTATGTGAAATCTATTAATAATTGTACATTTTTCTATAGAGAAAAATAGTGATATTTTAAAGAGTGCAAGTGATTTTGTCTGCCTTAAATTACAAATTTAGAAATTAATAAATACCAGTATTAATATTCAAAGCACTTTGTAGAGTCGGATATAATTTGGGTTGCAAAAATATAGACTTTTTTCAAGTTCATATACCAGGCTTTGTAAGCGAAATCTAAGCGGTTGGAACTTTAATACATTTTTGATCTGTTCGCAAATTTAGATGGGCAAGCACATTGAAAGTAAAAACTTGTTCTGTGTTTTAGCAATTCAAATTAACTTTTGAACTCATTTTCTAATAAAATAACTTGTATTAAAGTTCAGTAATAAAAATGATTATTTCATGCATTTAAGTATATGATTTATCACTCACTGCATATAAAATCATCATATGCTTTATATGTGTATTATGGCATAGAAATTTTTATTTCTGTTCATAGCATTTGTGGATAAAGCTGTAGATAACTTACTTAGTTTGTGGTATAATTTAGTGCTCTCTTCTTTTGTTGTATCTTAAACTCAGTATCGAAAAAATGTCCCCCTTTTTTTGTTCTTTTTAATTTTTAAGTCTAAAATTGTTTGGCAAGATTAAACTCTGTATAATTTGACTTTTTTAAAGATTTTTTTTTGAACATTGATCTGAAAACTAATATATTTTTATAAATAAAAGTTTTAAAGTGTATATTTTTGCATTATTTTATAAATTGAAATTCTTCGTGTGATATAACTGTCTGTATAAAATATATTTCACTTATGCTGTCTTACAAGCTTTTACAATAGTATGTATGTCAGAATTTAGGGGAGGGAGAACAGAAATTTACTGATCAGTCTTTTTTTTAAAGTTTTTTATACTCTTACTTCCATAAGACATAAGAAGTTCTTTAGAATATAATCTCAGTTAAACTGTATACTGTACTAAAGTTCAAGATCCAGAATCATTGGGATTTCAAAAATTCCGGATTTTGGAAATTTCTGTATTTTGGATCATCAGTTTAAATCAGGACATGTAGACTTGGCAACATTGAACTTCATTTATTTTTTAGGTTAGGTAGAAACATGTTACCCCCCTCTCCAGAGGGCTAAAACATATGCAACTGTATGTCAGAATTTAGGGGTGACAAAAATTTTGGAATTTAGAGGAGCAGCAAGCAGCAAAAATTAGAAATGGCTGAATTTTTAGAATTTAATGGCAGCAAAATGTTAGGAATTTATGGAGGTAGGGTGGCAGAATTTAGGACTCATAGAGATTGCATTGATTGACAAAATGTGTAGTCCTGTCCCTGTACACCCCTCTCCATTCCTGACAAACCGCTCAAGCCCTCAAAGTGTGATTCTGGCCAACATCAGTGCAGCACCAATCATTAAAAGTTATATAATCAGTCAGTGCTTGATTAGTGAGAGTAACTATGAAATGTTTTTCAGTTCCAGTATGGTGGCATGGCATGATAGGAAAACTTCTTGTCTAAAGTATCCTTATAAGAGAACTATAGAATCATTATTCTTTTAAGAAGAATGAAATTTGTCCCTGAAATACGTAGCGTATTCGGAAACTAAGTACCGTTTCATTCTAGTGCCGTCGCAGCTCTGTGGTAGGCGTCCCGCGCATGCGCATAGTCTTTTTGTCATGACTTTCAATTGTCGCCAGTGGTTGCTCTATGTTGTGTTTCAGTTTGCCTGTGCACATTCAAAATGTTTAAGACAATTAGTTCTCCTGCTGACTGTGAGATTCGTGCCGTATTAATTTTTGAACCGAGGGATGTTAAAAACGGCCGAAATTATCGTCAAGTGAGACAGAAGTTTACGGTGAATACGCGATAAGTGATGGAATGGTGAGAAAGTGGGTAAGAATGTTAATGCATGTCGAACAAATGTCCACGCCGAGGCTCGGGTGGTCGGCCTTTGTTGTCACCGATGATTTCGTAAGGAAAGTTGATGAAGCAATTCATGAGAACAGACGCTTCACAATGACAACTCTTTCAGAGGCATTTCACAAATTTCATGTAATGTTTTGTTCGAATTGTGTCTGACCGCTTGAATTATCGCAAACTGTTTCCCGATGGCTTCCAAAAATGCTCACTGATGTTCACAAAACAAAGCGACTGGTAGTGCCTGACATTTCTCGCGGTATACAGTGATGAGGGAGAAAACTTTAAACCAAATTGTGACAGGCGATGAAACTTGGGTGTGTCATTTCGCACCAGAACGAAGCAACAATCAATGGAGGGAGAAAAAAAAAAACATTCTCCGAAAAACAAAGTTCAAAGTGACAATGTCATCCCAAAAATCATGTGCACTGTCTCTGGGATAGGAAAGGAGTTTTGCTTACTGAATTTCTTCCCAGAGGTGAAACCATTAATGTGGCATGATATTGTGAGACTTTAACAAAACTAAGGCGTGCCATTCAAAACAAACGAAGAGGAATGCTCAGTAAAGGAATTGTGTTGCTCCATGACAATGTTCGGCCCCATACTGCTGGTGTCACTCAATCATTAATTTGACAGTTTCATTGGAAGCAGTTTGATCACCCGTAGTACAGCCTGGACTTGGTGCCGTCCGACTATCACTCGTTCCTGCACATGAAGCGCGAGCTTGGTGGCAAGCGCTTTGGATCTGACGATGGCACGAAAAATGCTGTGGAGTTGTTATCAAAACTGGCGGGAAGTTTCTTTGACGGTGGTATACAAAAACTGGTCACCCGCTATGACAAGTGTTTGATCATTGGTGGAAACTATGTTGAAAAATAGTTTAAGACATGTATTTTCATGTAAAAATAAAATTGGATTCGAAAAAATTGTTTTACTATTTTTTTTTTTCAAAATGGTACTTAGTTTCCGAATACACCTCGTAATTTTTAACAACAATAGCATAATGTTGAATAGTTGAGCTTTCAACATTGAACAAACAAAATGTTAGTTCATTAGCAAAATTAATGATTGACTTACAGATCTGGAACCTCCAGTCTTAATTTTTTTTCAGTGCAGCAGCTATCACTGATGCCGGTTTCATTAAGTAGTTCATGAAATATTCTAATAATTCAATATTTGTCATTTATTTAAACAAGCGAAAACCTCTTTTTATATGTTTTGTTTTTGTTGTTTCAATTTATTATTATATAAAATATAAGCTTGCATATTTTAAATAAAGATGTTATTTTTTCCAGAGAGCTAGGTGAAGTTAATTAAGGCAGCATTTCTCAAACTATAGTCTGCAGGCCATAAGTAATCTTCCTAGACTTTTAAAAAAAGACCAGAAATGAGATTCAAATTTACTGCATATCCCCCCCCCTTAAGAAAAAAGAGAGAGACTAAAAATAAAATTTTAACTAACCACATTATAGCAGAAAAATCTCAGAGTTTGGGGATTACTCATGGCACTCATCTATCACCTTTTTCTCCCAAATCAACATTTTGTGAAATTTATGTTATTATTTATTACTTATAGACCTCCTGCCCTAGCCTAAACTAAGAGAGAGAGGATTTAATGCACTGTGACTGTGGTGCTTCTTGCCATTATTCCTCTGCACATCTAGTGCCACAAGGCCCACTCAATGAAAATAGAAAATTAGCATAAATTTGTTTGCAAAAATTTTATTTTTTATAATCATGTAGTGAATCTGCCAGGTTTGCAGCGATAAAACTTAATAGTGTACATGGTGAACACACTTTTAGTGTAAGGATCTGCCCAGAAATGGTTTAAATAATTTAAAGTTGAAAAAAGATGAAGAGTTGGATTGATGATGAACCCTGTTCAGGATGTTTTGAACTGTTAGAACCAAATGAAATGATTAATTCAGAAGTTTAACATGAACAACTTTGCCGTCTAAACTCAGAACTGATCAAAAAACGCCTACGTTTGGTGAATATCAAGAAAGTGTTGTTTCATCATGATAATGCTAGACCGCGTACGGCTCGAACAACGCTGCAAAAAATTAGTGAATTTAATTGGAAGCTTTTGCCACATCCTGCTTACTCTCCAGATATTGCCCTAAGTGATTTTCACTTATTTGATGCCTTAAAATGAACTTTCAAGTTTCCTCGCATCAAAATCGGAGTCTTTCTACAGCAATGGCATAAAAAAGCTGCCTGTAAGATGGCGAGACATTATAGATGATGGAGGAAAATATATAATTGATTAAAATATTAAATTGTGTTTTTTATATTATTTAAAAATTTGCCAAAAAATGTGCACAAATTTATGGACTGACCCAATACTTTATATAAAATTATTTTTTATTAATTTTATTTGAAAAATTAAAATTTTTTTAGTAACTTGTTAAAAATATTATTTTTGAATTTGTTTGAAGAGGATAAGAATATTTTTAGGGTTTTGAAGAGGATAAGAATATGGTGGTTTGCAGAACATTCAAATTTGTAAGTGGTCCTAGTTTTAAGAATGTTTATGAAACACTGGATTAATGCAAGGCATGGAAAGATATCTGTGTAGAACTGAGAAATGGCAAAAAATGGAGAACAGAAAATTAAGGACCTTAAGAATTCATAAAAGTTTTTGTCTACTAATTTCATAAAACCTAGGATTAAAAAAAATACTTAAAAATTCCATATTTTCAATAGTAGAGGGGGATTTAAAATCCCTTCTAAAAGTGAGGATCCAGGGCAAGTATCTGTTCTATCATTGCATAACACAATCCCTAAGTGAAAGAATGTTTTGTCACCTGGTACACATTGATACATTGCATCTGTTTTACTAAAGAAGTGATATGTTTTGAGTGCTTCCATACACTATTATTAATTTGAGTACTCTGGGAAGTATTTCCGAGGATGATTTTGTTGAACGAGTCTAAATGTAAACAAAAGTGAAAGAAAATTACATTCAGATTAAATTTTATTTATAATTTGCAGTTTGTATGGGATATATACACTGCTGGCCATTAAAATTGCAACACCAGGAAGGCATGATCTGATGAATGTCAAAATCGCATGAAAGAAAGAAGAGGTTGGGATATGCAAATGATTAGTATTTCAGCGCATTTAGACGACACAGGAGGGAGAAGCGACGTCTGAAGCAATGCATAAAAGAATTGGGATTTCTTATTTGAAAAGCGCTTTGTAAAAGCGAAATTTGCTCAGAATATTGTGTTATGCCTTGAATAATAAGAAGAAATGCTAACCTGCAAGTGTCGGAATTCGACAGAGGCATGATTGTTGGCTATTGAGAGTGTAGATTATCATTCCATGATATCGTACGTTGCACTGATCGACATCTAACTGCTCTCATGCAAGTATGGAATCAATGGGTGGCTGAGGGTCATACTGAACAGCATGCAGGATCTCAATACCCTTCTATGACTTACGTCCAAGAGGAGGGATATATTGTGAAGTCAGCCCTGCAAAACCATACGAACTATTAGTCAGTAAATGGCATGTTTTCAGCATGTCCAGTACCCACTTGTAGGGTGCGCCAACGTTTGCAGCAGCTGGACTATCATTAGCTATTGTAGCTGGACTAGCAACCATTATTTCGGCTGCCCTAGACTGTGCAGCATAGAGGGAGACGGCAATTCTGGTGCCCCGAATGACAAAGCTGGATACAGGAGTGGCACAATATTGTCTTTTCAGATTAATCCTAGTTCTGTGTGCAGTATTCTGATGAAAATATACGTGTCTTTAGCCTCAGAGGAGATTGTACATGGCCTGCTTGCATTCAATATCGGCATAGGGACCC